TAGCGGAACGCATGCAAACCTAAGGAACGACCGAGCCCCATTTGAAAAGTAAGTGTTCCTTACTCAAGCCGCTCACTGTAGCCCCGCGTGTGCCTGCGGCAGCGCACGAACTACGGCCCTGTGATGTCGCTATAGCCACGCAGCCAGTTTCCCAGGAGCCCCCAGAGGCTCCCAAACCAACAACTCTGAGAGCGGGTCTCGTGAGCTCCCGAGGCCACAACCTGGGACCCCAGACAAGCAAAGCCGCACCAGGACCCAGGACCTCGCCCGCGAAACGCCAGGCCCCACGGAGCCCCAATGGCTCAGCCACGCAACGATTTGCCTGTCAAAGGGCGCAGGCCGTCCCATAGTCTCTGGCCCGCCTGCGGCGGCGCGCTCACTGGGCGGGCCTGCACTCGGCCCGTGGAGGACACGGCCCCGAGCACTCCACTGCAGGTCGCTGGGCTCCCTGCCCCGCAGCGCCTGCGCACTGCATGTGGAGCTTCCGTGAGAAGCTCGTGCCCTCCGTCGCGGCGCACATCTCCGCTTGCGCTGACGCCGCTCCCCGCATCCCCGCCCTCTGCCCAGCAGCAGCGGCAAGCCGAGGGGAATCGGGCGATTTCTGGCCCGCGGTCGGCGACCCGCTCGCAGCGACGGGCGAGCGGCGCTGCTCCATCGCCGCGGTCCGCTCGGGAGCAGGGGCCGCGTGCTCGCTGATGGCCACCCGCTGGGACCCGCGCACCACATGGTTCCGCCCCGCGCGCGGCGTCTGCGCCGGGGGCTCAGGCTGCGCCCCCGCGCCGGCCAGCCGCCGACGTTCTGCCTGGCCTGGGAGGGGGCCTCGATCCGCGCCTCGAGGGCCTGGAGTGGCGGGGCCACCTGGCTGGCGGCAGGCTGCCTCCCTGGCGCAGCTTGCCAGGCACGCTGCTCCTCCTCGTCTCGGTCGCCGTCGCATGCCACTGCCGCAGCCAGTCGGCGACGCACCCCTCTCGTCGCCAGCGCGGCCCGGGCCGTCGCCCACACATGGCAGGCCCAGCTGCAGCCGCGGCGGCCGCCGCCACCACGGCGGATGCTCGCGGAGGGATGATCATTCCCTCGCCTGAACTGGCGCCTTCTGCTGCGTTTGTCACCCGCTCGTGGCTCCGGCTCCGACCCTCTTGCCTCCAGATAGCCGCGCGCAGCGCCAAGATACGCCTCCTCGCCACTCAGGGCCGCTCCGCTGCGGGGCTCGAGCACCTGGCGACTCCGCTTGTGGGCCGAAGTGTCAATTGCTTCACCGCGGCGCAACGCAGATCTGGACCGCTAGTTCGGCCGCCTCGTGGACGCGCGAAAACCGAAAGGATTGGCACCGAGCGCCCATCGCAACGGCACGAAAAGGACCGCGGCACTCGGCGGCATGCAAGCAGTCGGCCGAGTCGCGCCAGGCGCGCCGCTCCTCTGAAGCGGGCGACCTGCCCGCGCAGTCTGCGTCACCCAGCGCGCCCTTCCTGCCAGGCTGGCGCGCAGATCTCCCGCGTCCAGCTCTCGGTTTCGTGGCGCCCGCCGCCCAGGAGAGACAGCGGCCAGAGGCGGCGCGCACATCGGGGAGGGGAGCGCATGCATGAGGCAGTCCTTGCAAAACTGCCGCCATCTCGTCAACGACTGGTCATGTGGGCCCATCGACGAGGTTGGGAACCCTCCAACTGGCAGACTCGCCCAGGCGTCTCTCCAAGTACTGCGGCCTGCCAGGAAGCGAATTCGCCCGTGTCCCAGAAGCTCGTCGGGCAACGCCTGCACTCCTGGCTGCGTGGGCGCCACCGTAGCCCTCTGGGGTGCTGGGGTCAGCGCACTCGGCGAAGTCGGGCTCCAGGTTGGAACAGTCGTCGAACATGGCGCAACTGGCGTCGCGACAACTGGAAGCGCTCGCACCCTCGACCCAACCCCCGATGAGGTCGCGCGGGGACGTCGGGGCCCAGGCCTCCCCGTGTAGACTAGAGCTGCGGGGGCCACGGTCAGAGCAAGCGCGGACGCCGGTGTCGGGGCTGTCGTGCTGGGAGCGCCTCGTCGTTGGAGCGGTCGCGCCTTCGTCCTTGCCCTGGCCGCGGCCCGCCCACCCCCCCTCCGGCATCTTCGCGAGGCGCGGGAGCCGAGCCGAAGATCTTGCGGCCCGAGCAGCCAGGCGAAGAGGCGAGGCGCGACGAGGGCTCGGGGCCGGCGCTGGCGCTTCGGGGCGACGTCGGCCCGTGGCCCGTCCTTCGCCGAGGTCGTGTGAGAAATTCGGGTCCACGGCCTCCGCCGCGTCGTCGCGGCCGTCGCTGGCGCGGGAGGCTGGGCCGCTGGCGTTGTCGGACCGTTGGCGCCTTCCCCCTGGCAGCCGCTCGGGCCGTCTGGGGCCATTGGGGCCCAGACCTCCGCGATGGCGGGCCTCACCTAACGCGAGCTGCAAGTGCAAGTTCTCGCCCAGCCGGTCGAAGTCGGCGTCGTCGCGCGGAGTGGCGCCGCCCTCGCCCTGAGCCCCGATTGGGTCATCGGGGTCTCAGGGGGCCAGACTTCCATGCTGCGGCGCTTGCATGTGTCGCCACGAACCTGGGCAATGCGCCTGGGAGGCGCGCCCATGCGGCAGCGGCAACGGCCCCGGCCGTCAACGAGGTGGCGCACGGCCTGCGGTCCAGCTGGCGCGGCGCATGGCGAGGCGCGCGTTTCTCTTAGGGGGCCCTGAGCATTAGCCAGGGCGGGGTCATGCTGCAACGCTTCGCTCATGGCAATCCAAGCAGGCTGCCAATCTTAGGTTTTGGCGCGACCTTCCGACCACCGACTGGAGCACCACGTGGTCAAGGCTGCGGCGACGGCGCGCGACGGATCGAAGCACTCGGCTGACTACGTCATCGACGTGCCTGCGGGGCTGGTGGAAGACTCGTGTCCTTCCAGTGCTCATGCTGCCATTCGGATATCCTTGAGTCTGCCATGCGAATTTCCGCTGGCGCCTGCTCCATAGCCAGCCGCCAGCGCGATGTCCGTCGCTTGAAGGCGCGCGGCACGTCGTCCATCCGAGAGCTGGAGCATCCCCAAGCGTCTCCGCCGCGCGGCTAACCCCTGAGAGGTCGGGCGCTCGGCAGCCTTGCGGTCGGCGGCCGCACAGGCCAGCTAGGGGAGCTGCGAGAGAAGGTTGAGCCGCTGGAGGTCTTGGAAGAGAATGCGGGTTGCCCTGCTCAGCGCGACGATGCCTGGCCCAAGCATGACGTCGTCAACCAGCCAGCGTGGGATTATGCCGGCGCCGCGCCTTGCGGCCCGCTCGGCGTTTGTGTCTCGGTGACTCTGAGGGCGGCTGCGGCATGGGGGCAGCCCGCGGTGGTGCCCTGGAAGCTGATGGCCACGCCCGACACGCTGTCGCAGGGCCAGCAGGATGCGGGGCTGGGCGTAGGCAAACGCACACACGCGAGGCGCTTGGGCGCGCCCGTGACGTGGGCAGCAGCGGCAAGCGGGGGGCGGACGTCCGCTCGACATGTCACCGCGCAGACGTGTCCAAAAGACAAGGGGGCGACGGCGGCTCGACGAAGTCGTCTGCGGTACCTGCATCATGGGAGCGCGTAGCCCAAAGCGCATGCCACATGATGCATGCGCAGTGCGTGCACAATGCCGCGCCTGTGCTTCGCGAAGCCGCGTCACATGTTGCGGCCCGAAGTTGCGCCATGGGTGGTGCTGATTTTCCGTGGCCATCGGAAAATTGGGGGTGAGATCGAAGTGGAACGGAGCCGCCCAACTGGGCAATCGATTTCGATGTCGGTTCGTGTCGTGCGTGACGTCCGAGACGAGGCTGAGCAAGTTCCTGCTCCAGTAGAAGACAATTCAGGACAAAACGAGTCGGACGGCCTGGCCGGGCTGGTGGATGCGGGTTGTCCCGATAGTTGCCCCGATAATTGTCCCGATGATTGTCCCGATGGCTGCCTCGATGGTTGACCCGCTGGTTGCCTTGATGGGTGTTCCGATGTTTGACGCGATGGTTGTTCCGATGGTTGTCCCGATGGTTGTCCCGAATTTTGGCCCGATGGTTGTCCCGATGTTTGGCCCGATGGTTGTCCCCATGGTTGTCCCGATGGTTGTCCCGATGGTTGTTCCGATGGTTGTCCCGATGGTTGACACGATGGTTGTCCCGATGGTTGTCCCGATGGTTATCCCGATGGATGTCCCGATGGTGACCTCCATGATTATCCCGAAATATGGTAGTCCCGATAGGTGTCCCGATGATTGTCTCGATGTTTGTCCCGAAGATTGTCCCGATGGCTGTCCCGATGGTTGTCCCGCTGGTTGCCTTGATGGATGTTCCGATGTTTGACGCGATGGTTGTTCCGGTGGTTGTCGCGATGGTTGTCCCGATGTTTGGCCCGATGGTTGTCCAAATGGTTGTCCCAATGGTTGTCCCGATGGTTGTCCCGATGGTTGTCCCGATGGATGTCCCGATGGATGTCCCGATGGTTGTCCAGATATATGGTAGTCCCGATGGTTGTCCCGATGACTGCTCGGATAAATAGATCATGATATCGAAAAAAACTGAGACCGATAGCTGTATGATAAAATGAAATTGGATAGTGAGATAGATAGACCTTTTGCGAGACTGGTCGTTGATTGACACAGAACTCGGTACTTTAAGTGTGAGACTGATACATGAAGCGATCGACCGAGTGGTTGATCGTGACACTGGTAGGTTGAACGTAAGACTAGTATATCGTTAGTTGGAAATTCCTATTTTGTATCCATGGGAAGATTGACAATTATATGTGCAAAAAAAATCACAGCTAGCTTGGTAGTGTGGCCAGTAGCTACGGGCATCGATTTACAAGTATCGAGATCCGTAAAGAAATAGATCGCGAACTAGATCTGACACCAATCACAAAACGAAAGCTGCACCCATCCCCTTCCCCCCAGAAACCTCCTTATCACCCGAGGTGTGGTCAGTGCGGCAGGCTGCGCAAATAACTTTGTAGTGCTGTGCACGACTTTGCACTGAACATGAATACATTGCACTAGCCTGCTGTTTTTTGTTTTTCGTCGGCTAACTTGCACCGCCAGGAGAGCGCAAGCGTGACCCTCAGAATGCGAAACCTTCCTGGCAGCAATGGCCCAGAAGCCTTGAGGGTCGATCTATCTCGCAACAGGGTGAGACGTTCGTTCCAACTTGTGCTTGGAGATATGAAAACTTTTAGCTTCTGGTGTATTGGTTGACTGGTGCATGAAGGTGGAGGTACGTTTGGACCCCTCCCTGCAGCCGTCTTCGTTGGCCGAGGGGCTGCAGGGAGGTCCTCGGCTGACGTTGGGCTCCAGCTTCCCACATCTCGCTCAGCAGCGCAAGCGCCGGCTGCCACTGCTCGCCCTTCTCGCACGCGCTGCTCCCAGCGTTGTAGCTGATGACGTTGGGCTCCAGCTTCCCACATCTCGCTCAGCAGCGCAAGCGCCGGCTGCCACTGCTCGCCCTTCTCGCACGCGCTGATCCCAGCGTTGTAGCTGACGCCATTGGGCTTCAACTTCACAATCAACAGATCGCTGATCATCGGCAGGACCCGCTTTCACTGGACGCCTCTATCACAAGTGCTGATCTCAGTGCTGTAGCCAACCAGGGCGGATCCACGTAATGGTATCCGAAGCGGCTTCCTGCGCGACGGAACACTGCTGCCAAATTCAAAATACGGATGTTCGCCCACGTGATCACAATGGTTCCCCAGCAGGTTCCCACACGGACAGTGCCCCGCAAGACACTCGAAAACGGGAAAGGCCGATACAACGATAGCAGGACAAGCCTGCCAAGTTGCGAGACGACCTCTCATACGCCGTGATGCATAAATTGTAACTGATATCGTTCGTCTCCACATGGCGTTCCCGCATCACTCTGAGCAGCAAAAATGCATGCCGCCACTGGCTGCATCTCTCACTCGTGCAGATCGCAGCGTTGTAGCTGATGACGTCGGGCTCCAGCTTGGCCTCCCACATCTCGCTCAGCAGCGCAAGCGCCGGCTGCCACTGCTTGCCTCTCGCACGCGCTTGACCCAGCGTTGAGTGATGAGTCGGGCCTCCATCTTAGCCTCCACATCTCGCTCACCGCGCAAGCGCCTTGCTGCACAGCCGCCTTCTCGCTACGCGCTGAATCCCAGCGCTGTAGTACTGCCGTGGGCTCCAGCTTCGCCTCCCGCACTCGATCAGCAGCGCAAAGCGCCCGCTGCAAGCTCCCCTCCTGCACGCGCTGATCCAGCGCTGTAGCTGATGAAGTCGGGCTCCAGCTTCGCCTCCACATGCTTTGCTCGCACGCGCTGATCCCAACGTTGTAGCTGATGACGTCGAGCTCCAGCTTCGCCTCCCGCATCTCGCTCAGCAGCGCAAGCGCCCGCTGCCACTGCTCGCCCTTCTCGCACGCGCTGATCCCAGCGTTGTAGCTGATGACATTGGGATCCAGCTTCGCCTCCCGCATCTCGCTCAGCAGCGCAAGCGCCGGCTGCCACTGCTCGCCCTTCTCGCACGCGCTGATCCCAGCGCTGTAGCTGATGACGTCGGGATCCAGCTTCGCCTCCCACATCTCGCTCAGCAGCGCAAGCGCCCGCTGCCACTGCTCGCCCTTCGCGCACGCGCTGATCCCAGCGCTGTAGCTGATGACGTTGGGCTCCAGCTTCGCCTCCCACATCTCGCTCAGCAGCGCAAGCGCCCGCTGCCACTGCTCGCCCTTCTCGCACGCGCTGATCCCAGCGCTGTAGCTGATGACGTTGGGCTCCAGCTTCGCCTCCCACATCTCGCTCAGCAGCGCAAGCGCCCGCTGCCACTGCTCGCCCTTCTCGCACGCGCTGATCCCAGCGCTGTAGGTGACTAGGGCAGACCTGTGGACTCCGTCCACGACATCAGCTCGACGTGGCGAGGGGTCTCTGGGCAAGCGCGGGGGGGTGCGGCTGCAGGGCCGAAAGGCAATCATGATGGCGTCGGGCTCCAGGACCTCCTGCTCTCCTGTGTTCCTCAGCTGCTGCTGCTGCTGCTCGGAGGTCCTGCTGCTTCCTCCCCCTCCTCCTCCTCCTCCGCCTCCTCCTCCTCCTCCTCCTCCTCTTCCACCTTCTTCTCCTCTTTCGCTGGATTCTCCATGCCCTCGGTCGGCAATCGTCGATCCCACGACGACTCTCCCAACAGAGAAACATCGACGGCCCTCGGAGCGTCCAACATTGTTCTTTTGTGCTTCGATATGCCGGTCGCCTCTCGTCCGCTCCCCCCCTCCTGGAAGCAATTCTGAGCCACTTAGGGCTTCGTGGGGGCCGTTTGGGGATCTCTTGGGGCGTTTTTGCCTGCGATATGCCTGTCGCCTCTCGTCCGCTCCCCCGCTCCTGGAGGGAATGCTGAAGCACTGAAGGCTTCGTGTGGGCCGTTTCGGAGCCTCTTCGGCCTTCGTTTGGGCCTCCCGGGGGGGCTCTTAGGGCCCTCTCGGGCCGTCTTGGGTGCCTCTTGGGCCGTCTTGGGGCCGTCTGAGACCCGCCTCGGCGCCTCTTGGGCTGTCGTGGGCCGTCTTGGGCCGCTCCTGGGGCCGTCTTGGGTGCCTCTTGGGCCGTCTTGGGCGCCTCCTGGGCCGTCCTGGGGCCGTCCTGGGGCGTCTTGGGACCGTCTTGGGGCCCTCCTGGCCCGTCTTGGGGCTCTCTTGGGGTCCTCTTCGGCCGTCTTGGAGCGGTCTGGGGGAGCTCTTGGCCCGTCTTGGAGCGTCGGGGTGCCGAAAAGGCGAGGAGGCCGAAACCATCGAAAAACACAATGGAAATCGACGGTTTCTACCGCTCGGGGCCCTCTTGGGAGGCCTCTGGGGAAGCCTCTTGGGGCGTCTTGGAGGCTTCTTGGGCCGTCTTGGGCCAATCTTGAGCGTCTTGGGCCCATCTTGAGGCGTGCCGGGGCCCTCTTGGCGTGTCTTGGGGGATTTTTGGGGCCCTCCTGACGTGTCTTGGGGCCTCCCTGGGCGGCCCGGGGCCAGCCCGGGGCGGTTTCGGTGCATTGGGGCCTGCGCCCTTCTGGCACGCACTGGGCCCTGCAATGTAGTAGAGATGACGCTGGGCTCCAGCTTGGCCTCCCACATCTCGCTCAACAGCGCAAGCGCCGGCTGCCACTGCTCGCCCTTCTCGCACGCGCTGATCCCAGCGTTGTAGCTACTGACGTCGGGCTCAGCTTCGCTCCCCCATCTCGCTCAGCAGCGCACGCGCGGCTGCCAATTTGCCGCCCTTCCGCAAAAAACGCGTGATCCCAGCGCGGTAGCTGATGACGTGAGGCTCTCTAGCTTGCCTCCACATCTCGCTCAGCAGCGGCAAGCGCCCGCTGCATGCTCGCTTCTCGCACGCGCTGATCCCAGCGCTGTAAGCTGGGAACGTCGGGCTCCAGCTTCGCTCCCACATCTCGCTCAGCAGCGCAAGCGCCCGCTGCCACTGCTCGCCCTTCTCGCTCGCGCTGATCCCAGCGTTGTAGCTGATGACGTCGGGCTCCAGCTTGGCCTCCCACATCGCGCTCAGCAGCGCAAGCGCCGGCTGCCACTGCTCGCCCTTCTCGCACGCGCTGATCCCAGCGTTGTAGCTGATGACGTCGGGCTCCAGCTTGGCCTCCCACATCTCGCTCAGCAGCGCAAGCGCCGGCTGCCACTGCTCGCCCTTCTCGCACGCGCTGATCCCAGCGCTGTAGCTGATGACGTTGGGCTCCAGCTTCGCCTTCCACATGTCACTGAGCACTGAAAGCGCGTGTTGCCATTGCCCGCCTTTTCTGCATGCGCTGGCAGTCGCAACGTAGTGGCCTGGGCCAAGTTGCACACCTAATCGAAGTCCTTCGCGGAGCAACCGCAGTGCTACGCTCCATTGTTTTGTCCGACCGCAGCTCTTGATCGACGCTTCGAGGGAAATAACGCCTTCTCGAGACCCTCGGCCGATGCCCAGCATCCGAGAAGACACGGCACCGCGGCTTGAGCCGCATTGTAAATACCTTAAGCCAAAATGGCTTGAGCCAAAATGGCTTGAGCCAAAATGGCTTGAGCCAAAATGGCTACGGACACTAGCCTGCTGTTTTGGTGGTTCCACGATGTTACCATCTGGTGTCCCTAATATGAACACATGTGCACTGAAACATAGAGAATAGTATTCGTCGACGTGGCTTAGTTTTCGCCGCGGTCCAAATTGAATCTAGCGTTGATGTTCACGTCAAACCTCTCCGGCAGGAACACGCGGTAATCCAAATCGATTGTGCCCCGCTTCTCTATGGCGTCCGGACTTGCAGCCTGCTTCGGGGATGGATGGTGGGTAGGGAGGGACGGAGAGAAGCAGAGCGAGAAGAGTATGGAGAGGGATGGAGGGAGCGGAGGTGTGAGGATAGGAGGACATAGAACAGGAGATAGGAGGAAGGGGAAAGAAACGGACAGCTGAGAGTAATCACTGTCGAGAACTGTTGCTTAGCGTGCCGCGGCGGCGGCCCTGGCGACATGCTATGCCCTGCCCGAGGATAGCGTTTCCCTCCGCACCGCGGGGCGGTAGGAAAGGTTGGGACGTCTACGTTCGGAGAACGGTGCGTAATTAGCGTCTGATTATCCTCCATCATGCTTCTTTCTCTCCTTCTCCTCCGCTTCCGTATCATTCTACTCGTGTTCTTCCGTGGCCCTCCCTCCCTCCCCCCCCCCATCCGAGATCCTCATCTTCCTCCGACCCCCGTCCTCCTCGTCCTCCTCCTCCTCCTCCTCCTCCTCCTCCTCCTCCTCCTCCTCCTCCTCCTCCTCCTCCCTCTCCTTCTCATCTCGCCTTGATGTTGTCCTCGTTTTTCGCTGTCGCTGTTATTCATCGCCGTCGTGCCTATGGCTGCCACTGGTCTCTCTGCCTGGACCTCGTGCCCTCTCGAGGCGCGCGCGAGGTCAATCTAAGAACTGTGAAACATCCCTGAGACGTTCCAAGCCTTCCTTGCAGGTGAAGGCCCCGCGGCTGCCGGCCGAGAAATGGCCTGCCGCCGGTCCGCGACTGGTACCGTGAGCGTGGAGGTCGGTGCGCCTGGGGGTCCTGCGTCCTGCCCCCCCCCGCCTCCGTCAACCTCGTCGTGCTCGTCGTCCTCCTCCTGGTCGTCGCTATGTCGACGGAGTTCACGCCAACTGCGCTGTGCGCTTCGCCGCCCAAGTAGGCTCTGGTACCCATCACGTGCTGCGTTGGGGGCCGTAGGGGGTCAGCACTCTGGGCGTCGCCTTCCGCAGCGACGTTCGCTCCTCTCCCTCCTCCTCCTCCTCCTCCTCCAAGCCCTGCTTCCTCCTCCTCCTCCTCCTCCTCCTCCTCCTCCTCCTCCTCCTCCCTCCTCCCTCCTCCCTCCTCCCTCCTCCCTCCTCCCTCCTCCCTCCTCCTCCCTCCTCCTCCTCCAAGCCCTGCTGACATCGTTGCCTGATTCGGGCGGCGAAGAATGCCGAGGGTGAGCCCCGCGTCTGCTCTGCAGGCCCGCCACGCCCGCGAATTCCAGCCCCAAAGCTGCACTGCCGGTGGATCCAGGAACCCTGCCCCTCTCCATCCTCCTCCTCCTCCTCCTCCTCCTCCTCCTCCTCCTCCTCCTCCTCCTCCTCCTCCTCCTGCTCCTCCTCCTCCTCCTCCTCCTCCTCCTCCTCCTGCTCACCCTCACCCTCACCCTCATCGCCCTCCTTTCTCATCTTCATCCTCGTCCTGCTTCTGAATATCTTCATATATCCCGTCGTCCTCCTCCTTCTTCTCTTGCTGGTCCCCTCTCCCGCTTCTCATCCTCCTCCTCCTTCCCGATCCTACTGTTTGTCACGGCTCTTCCCCGTGTCCTGACTGTTCTTCCCTCCCTTTTACTAATCCTACTGCTCCTCGTCGTCCTCCTCCACCGTGTCCGTCCGCGGTCTTTCAGCCCCCCTCCAGGCCGTATGTACCAATCTCAGAGAGAGCGTGATCCACCGCCGCTTTACCTGTGGAAAATTGCCAGCCTTTCTCCGGAACACGGGGTCGCCCCCCCCCCCCCCCCTCCGAAAATCCCCCCCCTGCTGGGAACCGCCGCCCCGCCCCCCCCCCCCCTCCCCCGGCAAAACCCCCCCCTCCACCTAAACCCCCCCCCCCCCCCCCCCCCTCCCGCTCGAAACCGGGGGGGTCAACTACCGGTTCGAATCGGAAAACCGGGGGGGTCACTACCGGTTCGAACCCCCCCCCCCCCCCCCCCCCCCCTACTCACCGCCAGCAAACGACTCCCGGTCCCCACCACCGTCCGCATCACATCCCCCACTGGTGTTCCCAGCACCACTGTCCTCACCACCGCTGTCCCCACTGGTTCCACCACCGCCCCTACTGTCCCCACCAGTGGCCCCACCACTGTCGCACTGTCCCCGCTGTCCCCAGAACTGTTCCCACCACGGTTCCACTCTCCCCACTGTCTCCACGGCCCCAACCACTGCCCGACTATCCCCACTGTCCCCACTGTCCCACTGACTCCTCCGCTGTCCCACTGAGCTGTCCCACTGTTCCCACCACTGTCCCCACTGTCCCCACCACTGTCCCCACTGTACCTCTGTCCCATTGTCCCACCGCCGTCCTCGCCACCGCCTTCACCACTGTCCCCACCACCATTGTACCCTCCACTGTCCCACTGTTTCCACCTCATTCCCATTGTCCCCACACCACTGTCCCCACCACCACCGTCACCACCACTGTCCACTGTCCCCCCCTGTTCCCACCATTGTCCCCACCACTGTCCCCACCACTACCGTCCCCACCACTGTCCCACTGTCCCACTGTCCCCACCACTGTCCCGCTGTCCCCTCACCACTGTCCCCACCAACACCGTCCCCACCACTGTCCGCACCCCCACTCGGTTTTCGAGGGGGGGGAGGGGGGGGGTCGAACCGGTAGTGACCCCCCCCGGTTTTCCGGAGGGGGGGGGGGGGAAGGGGTTCGAACCGGTAGTGACCCCCCCCCCTTTTCATGATGAGCTGGGGGGGGGGGGGGGAGGGGTTCGAACCGGTAGTGACCCCCCCCGGTTTTCCGGAGGGGGGGGGGGGGAGGGGTTCGAACCGGTAGTGACCCCCCCCGGTTTTCCGCCAGCAGCGGTAGAACACGCTCTTTCCAATCTCAAGAACTGGTCCAGCCCCCACCTCAATGGTTAGGACGACGGGTATACGGATCAGAGTGCGTGCGGGCGGCCCGAGCATAGCCAGCATGCCAGAGCCCAGAATGTCACCAGACGGGGCCCCACCTACCGATGCGCAACCTTCCTTGAAGAGCGGCAGAAGCTCTGTCGCGACACCCACAGCTACTTGGAATCCGCCGACCCCTTGGGGTTCATCGGCGTGTGAGATGTTCCCCCTCCCCAAACCCCTCCCCCGGGAGCCCGGTCCGGTCCATTTGGAGGGGGGGGGGGTCCGGCCGGACGGCCCCGGACGGCCCCGGGCGGCCCGGAACCCCCCGGAGGTCTCATCCGCTCCCGAAAATCGTGGAAAAACACGTGACAATCGTGTAGGGACGCGTCTGGTGGCCTCGAAATGGGTTTGGGACGCCCCACGAGCGCTCCAAGACGTCCAAGTTGGCCCGAAGACGGGCCACGAGGCGTCCTCGACGGCAGAAGAGGTCCCCACGAGCCCCCCCGAGGGCCTCCGAGATGCGTTCCACAAGGGTCCCTAGACGCAAAAATTGGGCCATTCCCTTCGTGAAATGTACATTTTTTAGAAATTCAGCTTTGGATCTTTCCGATGCTCCCCGACGGCCCAAGAGGCTCCCAAACCCGCTCCCAGACGGCCCCAGAAGCCTCGCAGAGGGTCCCCCACAGACCCCTAGAGGGCCCAAGATGGGCCAACAGGCGTCCAAGACGGCCCAAGAGGGCTCCGAAAACGGCCCCAAGAGCGTTCCAGGAGCGCTCCGAGTTGCCTCCACGAAGCTCCACATGGTCCCAGACGGTCCAAGAGCGATCAGAAACATCGACGACGACCTCCCGACGGCTCACGAGGCCTCCCCAGACGCCCCCACAGGCATCCAAGATTCCCCCCAAGAGGCCCTCTAGACGCAAAAAATCGCTCGTTTCCTTCGTAAAACGTATATTTTTTCACACGGGCGCCTTTGGGGGTGTCCCCCGCTCCTGCACGGCCCCAGAGCCCCCCAAACCCGCTCCCAGACGGTCCAAGACGCCTCCAAGAGGGTTCCTACATAGCCCTCGAGGGCCCCAAGACGGGCCAACTGACGTCCAAGGCGACGCGCTGCGAGCCCCCCCAAGGGGTCGGCGGTGTGGCGTAAGCCCAAGAATATGCAAGTGAAGATCCACTGTGCGCAGGACGGCTCGGCGAGGATATAAACATGACGAGAGCCCAGGAGCGGCAACTGAACGGGTGAAAACATGACAAGGCGAATTATAGATGTGGCAGGTGATGAACGCCGGCGCAAGAGAGACGCCATCAGCAGCCACAGAGCCTTTGGTGGACCAGCCTTTCTCTTCTTGTCCGCCATTACCCAGGAGACGAACTCTTTGTACTGGATCTTCCCGTCCTGCTTGGCCACCAAAGCTGGCACCCTCACCGCCCAAGGCCGACACGCCCTCGCTCCCGCGCCCCAGAACTTCGTGGAGCCACCGGGGCTGCCCACAGCAAGCATGCGCGCACGAGCGCAGACGGCACGACGTGCGCTTACCCACTGCACACGCACGCCCGCGAGAACCCGCGCTGCGTGCGGGCGACGGGAGACCGAGCTTGCAGCCTTGTGCTGTCTCTTCGGGGGACCTTGTCTGTCGCGTTGCGGCCCAATCCGCGTCGCATCCGCGTCGAATCCCTGTCGGCCTCGTCGGAACCGTGCCGAATCCGTGTCGGATCCGCGCCGGACCCACGCCGAATCCGCGCGTAGGGTCCACATCGAACCCGCGTCAGGCACAAAAAAAACACTTTGGGGGACAGGCGAGGTCCCCCGAAGATACAGGGTAGGCATCCTTGTTCAGGTCCGCGGCGACCATCAGCGTGTCCACGTCCTGGCGGGCACCATCTGCCCGCGCGCCCCGCCCGCCCCTGCTGGAGGCAGTGCCACGGGGGGGGGGTCAC